TATGCATACAAATACTCACAATACTTTATTTATATATTTGTGCAAATGCACAGGTCAAATACTAGTGTACCCCCAAAATTGGCATATTACACGAGACCCGAGTGCCATGGAGGCTTGAAATGAGTCGAAAGCTTCTTCTCGAGTCATTATAGCAGCTCGTTTTCCGGTTATGGTACTAGCCTGATGAATTCTCGTACTCCCAATCTGTATGTCATTGAAAACGAACTAGAGAAAAATAACACACGGAAAGTCACCAGAGAAAGAAAGAGGTTATAAGACACTACTATCGAGCCTTACACGTTAATCAATCACCCATGCAAATAGGCACGATAACCAGTTAAACAAAGGTCCGTCATCGTAACCTCTATAGATTTCAGAGGGGTGTCTCGATAGATCAATCGAAAGTGATTTTGGATGAGGTAAAATTATAGCAGCCGTTTCGTTCTCCTATGCTTAAGAGCAGCTGTGTAATGAAATGCTCGTTTATTGAACGTCATGCTTTTGTTTGGTAAAACATTTACGTGCAGCGAGCCATTGGTTTACTTTGCTTCATGTGTATAAAGAGCAAATATCTTGCACTGGTTAGGTAAAACAAAAGATCACATTATAGACTGTCTTACTGCTAATGTAACAGAAGTCTTTAACCATAACTCAACTCAAGATTCCAAGAAGTTGACAACTCTCTTCATGTCAGTTATTCAATAGTGTTGTTTTATATCATTTTCAGACACAGTCAAAACAAAAATCTTACATCAATCTCTACAAGTCAAATACACACCCTTAAGGCAGCTCTGCGCAAAGTCGACGATTGCACGTAAGCCTCCATTTGCCAGAAGCTGAAAATGTTTTCATAGTCGCACATTAAAAACATGATCAAAATCTACCATTTGAGGTAACAAAAAAAGCTCACTAGAGCCTGGGCAGCTGATATTCTTCGGGTGGGATCTTTTTGAAATAAAAGCCTCACAAAATCCTTCGACTCGGACGAGAGTGAAGGCGAAGGTTTTTTCATTCAAACTAGGGTTAGATTTCAAAACTTCCTCGAAAATGT